CCCTAAACCCTAAACCCTAAACCCTAAACCCTAAAGAGAACCACGCTGCTTGCGGGCCAGAGAAGGAGGTGGATGTGGTCTAGAGGAGAGTTGCGACGGCGGCTGCTCGTGGGGATGCCCGTGTTCCTACAAAACCCTTGAAAATCCGACTCTGGCAGCCCCCCCCCCCCCCCCCCAAAGCCCTAAACCTTCGGGGCCTCGGGTTTAGGACAAACTCGAACCTCTAAACTTTCTAAAACTCTAAGCCCTCTCCCTCCAGTGCTTATCCCCCCGCCCCCCCCCCCCACACACCGAACATAGAGTCAGTTGCAGGTCGGCTGGCGTCGACATCCGGCTTAGGGTTTGGGCCTTGTCAGCCCACCCTGCACCGAAACCCTACACCCTAGACCCTGAGTCTACTCTAATTAGGGTTTAGGGTTTAGGGTTTAGGGTTTAGGAACTCTAACTCTAGGTTTATGGTTAAGGGCTACTCTGCGCGGATGGGGCTCAGCTCAAGCAAGGCCCAAACCCCAAGCAACAATTTGCCCCAAACTCCAGAACCAAAGCCCCAATCCCTAAATTCCTGAACCCGACTTACCACTATTTGCTTACGAACCTCCCAAAAATGAAAAATGACCCCTATATTACCCTTATAAGAAAGAATACTTTGTATTGTTTTTTTTTTTTTTTTGGGGGGGGAGTGCTTATGCGAATAGAAGATTATAACCCTAATCAGAATCCTAATCCCTAATCATAACCCTGAATCTAACCCCATATATATCTCGACCCTAAGCCCTTACTTGAAGGTTCATGGTGCTTGCAAACCAAAGAGTAGTTGGAATTGTAACCCGATGATAACCAAGTTAGGGTACTGTAATTCATGTTTTTTCAGTGGATTATAAGTACGGTTATGATTGGTTATGAAGTACCACGAACCTCCAAGTAGCCCCAAGACCCGAACTTCACCCTAAAGCCCTAAACCCTAAACCCTAAACCCTAAACCCTAAACCCTAAACCCTAAACCCTAAACCCTAAACCCTAAACCCTAAACCCTAAACCCTAAACCCTGGAGGACGTCAGCTTTGCCGACAGCGACGCCCGCTGCCCCTACCTCGGTGGCGCGATCGAGTTTGCCGTCGACACTGCCGTGGACTTGGCGATCTTGCACCTCGATGTGGTAGTAGCCCTAAACCCTAAACCCTAAACCCTAAACCCTAAACCCGAAACCCCAAACCCTAAACCCTAAGCCCCACGCCCAAAACCCAAAACACAAAACCCCAAAACCCCAAACCCCAAACCCTAAACCCTAAACCCTACCCACACTACAAACCCTTGTGTTGGCGATGTCTTTCATCGGAAGCCCACTTGCAAGTGTTATTTGGTTGAAGGGCCAAGGTGTGCCCAGAGCCCTCAACCCCAAGTGGATAGGGTTTAGGGTTTAGGGTTTAGGGTTTAGGGTTTAGGGTTTAGGGTTTAGGGTTTAGGGTTTAGGGTTTAGGGTTTAGGGTTTAGGGTTTAGGGTTTAGGGTTTAGGGTTTAGGGTAGGACCAAAGGAGGGTTCATGGGCCGGATGAGATGTTGGCATTCGAGTCTAGTTGAAGTTGCATTCTTCGTAGTGACTGCTGCAGGACATCTGGCCTGGGCAGGGTTGAGGGTTCTGGGTTCAGGGTTTAGGGTTTCAGGGTTGGGGGTTCAAGGTTTAGGGTTTAGGGGTTTAGGGTTTAGGGTTTAGGGTTTAGGGGTTAGGGTTTAGGGTTTAGGGTTTAGGGCTTCAGGGTTTTTTCGGTTCCTGAGCCGAGGCAGTACTGGAAGATCTACTTTGCGATGGACACCAGCGGCGCGAATGCGACAACGGCTTGGCAGCTGCCCATGTGACCCGACCCAGCGTTGCGGGGTTTAGGGTTTAGGGTTTAGGGTTTAGGGTTTAGGGTTTAGGGTTTAGGGTTTAGGGTTTGGGGTCTGGGGTCTGGGGTCTGGGGTTCAGGGTGTAGCGTTTTAGGGTTTAGGGTTTAGGGTTTTAGGATTTTAGGGCTTTGGGGTTTTCGGGTTGCGTAGGCTTGTGTACGCTCTCAACCATCCCAAGGCCCGTTTAGGGGCGAAGGATTTAGGGTTCAGGGAGTTTCGGGAGTTCAGGGAGTTTAGGGTGTTTAGGGTTAGTTAAAGGTGTTTGGGGGGCTACCTAGGCCCCAGAGAAGGTCCTTATTCCCTTTTTAGGGTTTATAGGCTCCCTTATAGGCCCCTTCAAACCACACAGGGCACCCTTTTTATTCCTAGGGTTTAGGTGTTAGGGTTTAGGGTTTAGGGTGAGCCGGAAACCAGAAAAAAACGTATTTCCTAGCAGGCAATTGCAACAACGTGTCACGGCCCCTCTTTTTGTTCGCAAGTCTTTGGGGTCCTTTAGAATAGCCCTCCAAGAATCTAAGGGTCGAAGGTTGGGTTGGAGGGTTTAGGGTTTAGGGTTTAGGGTTTAGGGTTTAGGGTTTAGGGTTTAGGGTTTAGGGTTTAGGGTTTAGGGTTTAGAGTTTAGGGTTTAGGGTTTAGGGTTTAGGGTTTAGGGTATTGAAGCTTCTAGATGTTCCGTCAACCCTAAAACTCTGAACAGGATGAGCGCTAGGAAGCTGTAGGTGAGTAGAGTTGCAGGTTGGGTTCAGGGAGTTTAGGGGGGCCTCAGGGTCAGGGTTTAGGGTTTAGGGTTTAGGGTTTAGGGTTTAGGGTTTAGGGTTTAGGGTTTAGGGTTTAGGGTTTAGGGTTTAGGGTCTTTTGTGATGCGTGTTTTAGGGCCGTGGCTTCAAGATAGATGGGCCCAAAACCCTAATCCCCAGAGGCCAGCGAAGTTCAATCCCCTCACATTTATGATTTGCTTAGGAACCGCCAGGAAAAGAGCAAAAGCTTCTTCCTTATGAGGGCCATATAGGGATTATTCTCTTTGCTTGTTTGGGGGGGTTCTTAAGCAAACAGTAGGTATGTTCGTTGAAGCTCCACTACCATTTTCCGAAAGTCGCTTGTCACAGCACATCTGCTCAGAAAGAAAGAGAGAGACAGGTCCTACAATGTCTCTTTGACCCTGCCGACCGACTACATGCACGACGGCCGATCAGTCCTCATCATCTCGGGCGTGACGCACGCCGGCAGTTGGGTTTGGGTTCAGGGTTTAGTACACCCTAATCCCTATGACCTAAACCCTAAACCCTAAACCCTTAGACCAGAAACCCTAAACTCCTTTCCTTAGAAGGGTATTAACCTTTTAAGGAAGAATATTCTTTCATTTTTGGAGGGGTTCTTTAGTAATGTAGGGATTATCATTTTCCATTCTTTTTTGGGGTTCTTAAGCAAATATCAGCTTTGGGGCTGAAGGCTGAAGAGCGTTCGGGCGATCTGTGCTGCGAAGCTTGGGATGAACGCCTAAGGTACCCCTAGACCCTAAACCCTAAACGCTAAACCCTGAACCCTGAACCCTAAACCCTAAACCCTAAACCCTAAACCCTAAACCCTAAACCCTAAACCCTAAACCCTAAACCCTAAACCCCCCCCCCTCCTCTTCCAAGCCCGGAACTTGCAGGACGGGAAGCCGAGAGGTCCTCCTGCCGGTGCCCTTCTGGCAGCTTGGCTTGTCTTGAGGGGTTCGGGGTTCGGGGTTTAGGGTTTAGGTTTAGGGTTTAGGGTTTAGGGTTTAGGGTTTAGGGTTTAGGGTTTAGGGTTTAGGGTTTAGGGTTTAGGGTTTAGGGTTTAGGGTTTAGGGTTTAGGGTTTGGGGCTCAGGGATTTCCCACAAAAGCTCCAACACCCCTTAATGAAGAGAAGATTTCTCAAACCCTCTACGGAATCCTTTCATATTTTGAGGAATATACCTTAATTAAGGAATACTCCTGAAATCCGAGTTCCTAATCCTAAGCCTTGCACCCCGCATCGAACTTGCGTTATCCTTCTATAGGGGAAGGCCCAGTCTCCAAGAGCCTCCGGGCCTCTGACCCCAAGCGCTGGACCCTCGCCGTTTAGGGTTTAAGGGTTTAGGCTTTAGGGGTTTAGGGTGTAGGGTTTTAGGGCGTAGGGTTTAGGGTTTAGGGTTTAGCGTTTTAGAGCTTAGGGTTGAGGGTTTAGGCTTTAGTTTTTTTCGGGTTGCTCGGGAGGAACGATTGCGGCGGGGTGCCGTCGATGGCCTTTGCCGCGTCCTTCTCTGACGAGGAGCGTCTGTGAGACGACCTAGGCCATTGGTACAACCCTTAAACCCCCCCAACGCTCTGTAAACCCAAAACCCTCCCCTCAAACCCTACACCCTAAGCCCTAAGCCCTAAACTCTCAAAAAACTTTGAGCCCAAACCCCTACAACGCCCTCAAGCCCTACACTGCCCTGAGAATCCCTGAACGCCCTCAAAAACTCCCAAACCTTAAAGCCCCTAAGACCTAAACCCTATAAATTCTGGGGATGGGGGTCTGCGGTTTCGGGCTTAGGGTTTAGGAGGTCCAGCGAGTTCGGGCTTCAGAGCAGAGAGTAGGGATCGTGGCCCGGAGTGATCGTGTAGGTATATCTACTCGTAGGAGTAGAACCCTAAACCCTAAACCCTAAACCCTAAACCCTAAACCCTAAACCCTTTACCTTTTAAACCCTAAACCCTAAACCCTAAACCCTAAACCCTAAACCCTAAACCCTAAACCCTAAACCCTAAACCCTAAACCCTAAACCCTAAACCCTATACCCCTAAACCCTAAACCCCTAAACCCTAAACCCTAAACCCTAAACCCTAAACCCTAAACCCTAAACCCTAAACCCTAAACCCTAAACCCTAAACCCTAAACCTAAACCGTAAACCCTAAACCCTAAACCTTTTAAACCCTAAACCTAAACCCTAAACCCAAAACCCTAAATCCTAAACCCTAAGCCCTAGTAGGAGTATAGGATACCTAACCTGTTCGGTTTCGGATTTGAAGGTGTAGGGTCCGGGGTTTGGATGCTTGTGGAATGAGGCCTTTAGGGTATCACAGGATGCTTAGCGCTCCGGTTCAAGGCTCTTTGTGGCGAGGGTGATGGCTGTGCCTCCCTTCAGTTCCTCTGCGTGCGGCCTGCCGAGGGGCTGGAACCAGGAGTTCCTGAGTGCGAGGCGAGTCCACTGAGAAGCCGCACTGGTTCAGGGCGCCGTGGCTGCCTTTTGAGCAGAAGGATGGTGATTGGAGGGTCGGCTGGGAGGCCCTCCTACTCCATCATGTACCACGGGAAGCTCGGATTCGGGACTCGGGGGTTCTTAAAGGACCTAGTAGTAGAGTAGGTAACCTTTAACCTTTTTGGGGTAATATATTCCCCTTATAATCCCAAAGGTTAACCTTTAAAACCCCTAGGTACTGGACAACTAAGAGGAGCTTGGTTTAGGGTTCAGGGTTTCGGGTTAGAGGTATATACAGGGTTTAGGGTTTAAGGGAACCGTAAACGGGTACCCAGAGACTCCAAAACCCCTTAATCAAGGAATATCCCTGAAATCAGAATAGGAACCCTAGTATGATATAAGGTATGTTCCTTAATTAAGGGGTTTTTGGAGTCTCTGGGTAGTTGGGCGTCTTGGGCCCACGCTCATGGGATCCGCTTGTGTCCCGAACTGCCGCACCCCTTGACCCAAATTCAGGTTCAGGCGAGGCTTGAACTAGGGGTTGTTAGGGTAAGTTCAGGGTCAGGGTACATTAAAAACGCTGTATAAGAAAACGGTTTTCCGGCGATAGGGTACCCTAAGTTTCTCAGTTTCCATTACCCATGTACCCGGGGGGTTTGAGCCGAGGGTAGGCTTCGTTTCTAAACTAATTTCTTAAGGGAGTACGCTATACCACTAGACCAAACCCATGTTCCAGGAATGGTGGTGGGAAGGGTTCGGGAAGGAATGGTGGTGGGAAGGGCTCCCGAACTTGACTCCCGCCGCGTTTTTGGGGTAGGGTCAGGCCAGAGGCGCGGGGGAGTCACGTTTTAGAGCTTTTCAGGGCTGAAAACCTCTAGAATGTGACTCCCGCGCGTTTTTGGGGTAGGGTCAGGCCAGAGGCGTGGGGGAGTCACGTTTTAGAGCTTTTCAGGGCTGAAAACCTCTAGAATGTGACTCCCGCGCGTTTTTGGGGTAGGGTCAGGCCAGAGGCGCGGGGGAGTCACGTTTTAGAGCTTTTCAGGGCTGAAAACCTCTAGAATGTGACTCCCGCGCGGTTTTGGGGTAGGGTCAGGCCAGAGGCGCGGGGGAGTCACGTTTTAGAGCTTTTCAGGGCTGAAAACCTCTAGAATGTAACTCCCGCGCGTTTTTGGGGTAGGGGCAGGCCAGAGGCGCGGGGGAGTCACGTTTTAGAGCTTTTCAGGGCTGAAAACCTCTAGAATGTGACTCCCGCGCGTTTTTCTGGTTAGGCAGGGTATGTATATAGTAGAGTATCTCACAACAATCCCCCAGAGCCTGCCGAGAGGACCCCAACGAAGAGCTCATTGGTGGCACAGTTACCGTTGACTTGGACTACCGGCGACTTGGGCGGAGATGGGCTAGGGGAAGCCTCAGCCCCTACTGCCTCAGGCCTAAACCCTGAACCCTAAGCCCTGAACCCCTAAGCCCTAAACCCCGAACCCTGAACCCCGAAGCCCTGAACCTCTAAACTTAAACCCTAAACCACTTAGAAGCTGAGTGAGTACACTTTACACTTTTTTGGGATACTATAAATCCCCTTGAGAACTGAAGGTGTGCACTTTTTTTGGGCTTGTGAGCTCAGCAACGAAGAACCCTGAATCCCACGCTTGCGTCCTCAAGACTGCAATAAGCGCTCCACCGGTCACCCCAAAACCTCCCTAGAACCCCGCAAATCACGCCCCAAGCCTAGAAACCCTAAGCCCCAACACCCTGAGCCCTAACCGTAAACCCTGAACCCTAAACCCTAAACTCTAAACGCTAGACCCTAAACCCTAAACCCTAAACCCTAAACCCTAAACCCTAAACCCTAAACCCTAAACCCTAAACCCTAAACCCTAAACCCTAAACCCTTTACCCTTTAAACCCTAAACCCTAAACGCTAAACCCTAAACCCTAAACCCTAAAACGGTTTCATTGTTGGAAGCAAAGGTCACGCGTAGACTGAGAATGCATGCAACATGAATTGAGAGACGCATCCTATGGACACTGGTAAGTCAGGAAGAGAGAAAGCCCTAAACCCTAAACCCTAAACCCTAAACCCTAAACCCCCAAACCCCCAAACCCCCCAAACCCCAGCTTCCCTGAAGCGGCGGCCAGGCATTATGACCAGTTCACCCTGATGAGCCCCTGGGTGCTGAACTGCGAAGCATGGGTCTAGGGGGCCAGCCCTACACTCTTAACAATCGTTTAGGGTTTAGGGTTTAGGGTTTCGGGTTTCGGGTTTCGGGCTTAGGGGTTAGGGGTTAGGGGTTTAGGGTTTGGGGGTTCAGGGTTTCGGGGGTTTGGGGTTGTAGGGTTTGAAAGGGAGGGTCTAAGAAGGCCAGGGCCTCAGAGGGTCTCAGAAGGTCTCAGAAGGTCTCAGAGAGGGTCTCAGAGCATCTTAGAGGGTCTTATGGTTGGTCCTCTAAACCCTTAAACGGGGCTGTGGGCCCTGGGCCCTACACCGCGTCCTGCAGTTGGGCGGGTGAGGCTTTTGGGCTCTTCTTGGGGCTCTGAGACCCATAAAGCCCGCACAGGCGCTGAAAGTCCTAAAGCCCCTAAAGCCCCTGAAGCCCCTGAGGCCCTTTCAGCCCTAGATCCTTCAAGCCCGGTAAAAGCCCCTAAACCTCTCAGCTCTCATTCCTACCCCCGAGGGCCCTATGCCCTAAACCCCCCTTGAAGGTTCATGGGTCAGAAGCGCTCAAACAAATATCACTTCTGAAGCCCAGGCAGTATGCGAGTAGTTCTCCAAAGTAGGGCCCCTTTTGGGCTTTCTATAAAGTGCTGCACTATATAGGGGGACCCAAGAAGGGACACTAATGTAGAGAACTAAGCCATGTACCTGCAAAATCCACCCCCAAGCCCTGAGCCTCTTGACCCCTGAGGCCTGCTAAGTCCCCTAGGCCCTAAGCCCCACTTGAAGGGTTCATGGGCATAAGTATCCTGAATAAGGTTCTAAGCACTTACAACTCAGGTTGCTGTGCTTATACGCCCACTAGCATGGTATCCCATGAAAAAGGGAACAAGTCCAAGCCCAGCTTCATGGCACCCATGAGTCTCCAAGCAAAAACTCCTCTTATGGGATCCTGGTACTAGGCAGTCTTCGGGAAGCTTCGGGAGGGTTAGGTGGTGCGCGAATTGACAACATGAAGCTGCGTGATCGCAGCTGTTGGATTTCGCGAGACACTTAGAATCTTCGCAGCCCAGCGGGCCCTGTGAGCAGGAATTGCGATCACCCCGCCATCCCAGACCTCAGGAGGCGCGTTTGCTCGCCATGGCAGTGCCTTTCCGCTTACTGACACGTATGCCATTATGAGTTGCTTTGTGGGCACAGACCTTTCTCTGGACGCACGAGGAGCACTTTGGAAAAGGCGATTTTGCGATCACCGCTGGATGTGTCAATGCATCCATTGAAGTCGCGGTCCCTCCTGTTGCGCATGCTGCAGCGTAACCCGCAAAGGCGTTGGGTAATGGGGAGAGTATTTCGGGAATTTTGGGTTACATACAACCCCCTTGAACACCCTTTAACCCTAAACCCTAAACCTTGAATCCTAAACCCTAAACCCTAAACCCTAAACCCTAAACCCTAAACCCGAAACCCTAAACCCTAAACCCTAAACCCTAAACCCTAAACCCTAAACCCTAGACCTCCCCTCCCTGTAATCCTCCCAAGGGCTGTACCTGGCCTTCGATGCTACCGGCCTCGGGCGCACGGAGCTGGGGTCGGCCTCACCCTTCGAGGCCGGGTTGGGGGGGGGGGGTTAGGGTTAGGGTTTAGGGTTCAGGGTTCAGGGTTCAGGGTTTAGGGTTTAGGGTTTTTTCCAAGCTCGGGTGTGAATCACCCCGGGCCGCGCGCTCGCGTTGCCTGTCAACCCACCCACGCTACTAGGGTTTAGGGTTTATTGAATTGATTTTCTTATGCACCGATACTTGTTTCTATTTTTTAAAGTTGCGGTGCAAGGATTTAAAGCGGAGGCTCGGGGTAGCCTCGGCCCTTTTCGGGCCTTCGGCATGTCAGGGCCTCACGGTTTAGGGTTTAGGGTTTAGGGTTTAGGGTTTAGGGTTTAGGGTTTAGGGCCCTTTTTTACTTGAAGGCCTCGAGTACTTGTTTTGAATTCTCAGTGGAATTAGTGTTATCTTGTGGTCTTGTTGCCTTGTTATCTTGCTATCTTGTTTTCTTGTTATCTTGTCATCTTGTTCTTGCTTGTCTTTTTGTTTCACGCACTATTGATATTGCATTGTTCTGTTATTGCTGGCCATTGTTGTGATTATCGGTGTCACCACCATCATTGTTGTTATTGTTATTGTCGCTGCTGTTGCTGCTATTGTTGTGCTTACGGCTATTGTTATCATTTTCGGTATTGTTCTTGGCGTTTGTATTGTGTTGGTCATTCTTCTGCTGCTTGTTTTCGTATTCGGGCTGCTATTCTGCCAGTTCGTATTGTTATAGCACCCGTGTTATTCTCGCGGTTATGATTAGGGTCTTCTTTCATTGCCATTAACATCACAACTGCTTCTTATCCCTATCCTCCAATCGTCCTACAACTCTAATCCTCCAATCGCTCCTGCAGCTCTTGCCATTCTTACTACTCCTACTCCTGCTCACGATGCCTACGACTCCTACCTTTACTACGAATCCTCCTACTGCCACTGCTGCTGCTTCTGCGCTGCTGCTGCTGCTGGTGCCTCTGCGGGCTTCAGCTTTTGGAGACTCGGGAGCTTCAGGGTTTAGGGTTTGGGCTTGGGCGTTTCGGCGTTTGAGGGCTACAGGGAAGCAGTTGCATGAGTTTGACAGTTCCCGAGATTCCATGCTAAGAAGTCGCAGGCAAAAGTTGATCAAATCATGACCTTTGGATGCTTCAAGAAGTTGGGATCCAAGCTATTATTTGGTGGGTGCTGTAGGGCGTTGTCCCTTAAACCCTAAACCCTACACCCTAAACCCTAAATCCTAAACCCTGAACCCCTAAACCCTAAACCCTGAAACCCCTGAACCCTAAGCCCTAAACCCTAAACCCCAACGCAGCAGGTCCAGTTCAATTTGCCGAATGGTGGGGCCCTGAGCATGCTCGTCAAATTGAGGTACTATAGGGGCCTTACTAAATAGAACCGGGTTTTGGGGGTTACTATAGTATTTTATAAAGGGGACCATAAGCGAAAACTATTAGTAATAACTCCGACCCCTATACTGTGGGCTTCAGCGTGTTTTGTGGGACTAAAGGTTTCGGGTTCAGTGTTCCGGGTTCCGGGTTTGTGGCTGTTAGGATGCAGGTTTAGGTTTCAGGGTTCAGGGTTCAGGGTTTAGGAGTAGAGGTTTGGGAATCAATGGTATCGAGAGTTGAAGGTCTATGTTTGTCAGCCCTGGTGTGTCGCGGCTCCGCCATGGTGTCCTTCCGCCCTGCTGTGTCGTGTTTAGCGTCTATGATGTAAAAGTTGAGGGTTTTGTGTTGAAGGTTGAATTTCAAAACCTTAAAGCCTAAACCAGCCCTAAACCATAAATCCTCATCCTAAACCCTAATCCCTAAACCCCATGCCCTAAACCCTAAACCCTAAACCCTAAACCCTAAACCCTAAACCCTAAACCCTAAACCCTAAACCCTAAACCCTAAACCCCAAACCCTAAACCCTAAACCCTAGTCAGAGGAGGGTCTTCAGGGCTGACAATGCTCGGCCGCCTTGGGCTCAGGTACCCGGCTGGACTCCCGGGACTTTCTGCTGATCTATCCGGAGAACCCGTGCCCTTGCCTTGACCTAGGGCTTAGTTTAGGGTTTAGGGTTTAGGGTTTAGGGTTTAGGGTTTAGGGTTTAGGGTTTAGGGTTTAGGGTTTAGGGTTTAGGGTTTAGGGTTTAGGGTTTAGGGTTTAGGGTTTCGGGAAGCATCAAACCGGGGTTTAGGGCTTAGGGTTTCAGGTTTCGGGTAAATTAGGTTTTATGGAAACATCAATCTCAGGGACTTACATAACCCGGAGGGTCCATGTACTCATACAGTCCATATTTGGGCCCTAAGCTACTGTATGGGAACCTCTTTTAGGCCCAAGTATGTACGATATTGCTACATGGACCCTTTGGGTAAGGTGTTGGTTTTGGTGGGCAGCCCTTTCTTTGACTCCTGGGCTCTGGTCGGTATATGACTGTGGCGGTCAAAGAGAGAGAAAACCTGCATGTCCATATATGTACATGTGTATATATATGTATATATATATATATATGCATACATGCATGTGTATGTGTGTGCAACCTTATACAAGTGCCTGTGTGTGTGTGTGCGCGTGTGTATGTATGTATGTATGTACGTACGTATGTATGCACATACGCATGCGATTGCTATCACATGTGTGCAGATGTACATGCACACGCATACGTACAGAAGCATGCACTTGTCGTTTTATATGCAAGAGGCATCTGCACATGTGCACATAAGCCCTACTGCCCGAAAAAACCCAGAACCCTTAAATGTAAGCCTGTGCTCCTAAGCCCTCAAGCCCTTAAACCCTTAACACCCGAAACTGTAAACTTCATTCATTTACGGATGATACATTGCAGGGAGCCTTACTTGAGCCCCCCAAAGCCTCAACCTTTAGCAGCCGAAAAAGTGATCTTTTTCAATCCTCCTGAAAGGGTTTGGGGTTTGGGATTAGAGTTTAAGGTTTGGGCGTTGGGCTTTGGGCTTTGGGCTTTGGACTTTGGGCTTCGGGCTTTGAGCTTTGGGTTTGGGGTTCATAAGGTTTGGGGTTTGGGGATTTGGGTCTAGAGTGAGGACTTTGGGGTTTACCCCAATCCTAAACCCCATCGGCACCGTTACGGGCGATTGTTCTTGAATATGTTGCGTATGATCAATTTCAGCTGGTTCGCGTTTAAGGGGCTAGAAGAATACGAAGAGTCTTTCAGAGTTTCGAATACTCGTGAAATTATCATAGGGTGAACCATCCCTAAATAGCCTTAATTATGGGGGGAACCTAGGGGGGGTAGTTTAGAGGGGTAAAAAGTAGGGGAACCCACGACAACATATCTAGCCAGATCTTCGAGAGGTATGGGCAGCAGGCGGTGCCTATTGCCGTGACCGTTTCGGACCTCCTCCAGTCATGCTTCTGACATCGGTAACCCTACGCACTATGCCCTCAACCCAACTAAACCCTCGACCCGACCCCTGCTTAATCCCTAAGCCTTCAACCCTAGGCCCTATGCTCTAAGCCCTAAGCCCTAAGCCCTAAGCCCTAAGGCCTAAGCCCTAAGCCCTAAGCCCTAAGCCCTAAGCCCTAAGCCCTAAGCCCTAAGCCCTAAGCCCTAAGCCCTAAGCCCTAAGCTCTAAGCCCTAAGCCCTAAGCCCTAAGCCCCAAACCCTATACCCTAAACCCGAACCCAACCCACCTGAACATGAAGGCATCTGGGGCGCCCTGAACTGTCGGGTGGAGCCGGCAAGTTCACAAAAAATGCGTTGAGGGTTGACTGAAATTATAACCCAAAACTTTAACCTCTTTAGGGTTTAGGGTTTAGGGTTTAGGGTCAAGGGTTTAGGGCTTAGGTTTTTGGGTTAACCCTAAGCCGCAAGCGAATTACAATTACAGAAGTCCCCCCCCCTGTTTTGCCGGAGGCTTGAGCCTTTCGGTTTATGGTTTAGGGGTTTAGGATTAACCCCCCCAAAGGCCCTAAACCCCAAACCCCGACAACCCGACGCCCCTAAACCCTAAACCCTAAACCCTAAACCCGAAACCCCAAACCCGAAACCCGAAACCCTAAACCCTAAACCCTAAACCCCGAAACCCTAAACCCCGAAACCCTAAACCCCGAAACCTCAAGAGGCCCTAAACCCTAAAACTCAACCAATCCTCCAAAACCCTAAAAGCTTCGAAGCCCCCCAGGGGCCCTAAACCGTCAAGGCCTCGGAGACCCAGAAAAGCCGATAACTCAGGGTTTAGGGTTTAGGGTTTAGGGTTTAGGGTTTAGGGTTTAGGGTTTAGGGTTTAGGGTTTAGGGTTTAGGGTTTAGGGCTAACCCCTGAGTCGAAGGACAGGCCCCGGACCCCCAAAACCCAACAACCCCCTGACGCCCCTAAACCCCGACACCCGGAAACCCCTGAAACCCTAAAACCCCAAACCCAAAACCCTGAAACCCTAAAAGCCTGAACCCCTACCACCCTAACACCCGAACACCCTGCCACACGAAAAGCGTCGATGCCTCTGAGGCGAAGGACAACCCTAACACCCGAAACCCCTAAACCCCTAAACCCCTAAACCCCTAAACCCCTAAACCCCTAAACCCCTAAACCCCTAAACCCCTAAACCCCTAAACCCCTAAACCCCTTAACCCCTGAACCCCTTAACCCCTAAACCCCTTAACCCCTTAACCCCTTAACCCCTAAACTCCTTAACCCCTAAACCCCTTAAACCCTGAACCCTAACCGCCTCGAAGCCTTTGAGCCGAAGGACTGGATCCTTTTCTGGAACTCTGCCCCGGGTGCCTCCTCGGTGGTTACCCGGCGTTCAACCAGGCTTCTGAAGTTTCTGACGAGGTTTCCAGCCCCTTCCATCTTGAACCTGTTTAGGGTTTATGGTCTAGGGTTTTAGGGTTTAGGGTTTAGGGCCCTAAACCGTATGAGCTCTAAACCCCTGCACCTTACACCCTGAACCCAATTTGTGTCTCGCGTTGACAAGTTGACCTGGCAAGTCTAGGCTCAGTGTTTGAAGGTCTTACTGGTAAACCCCAAACCCTAAACCCTAAACCCTATTGGGTGCTTCGGTTTTAGGGCTTTCTGGGGGGCTTTTCTGGGGACCTGAGGGCTTAGGTTTAGGGGAGTTTTCGTGCCATGGGCGTCGGTGGTGACGAAGGTCTTCGCCGGCGCATGGACCGAGGTGGACGAAATCGCGAGCAGGATGGGTCCGCCCTAAACCCAAAACCCTGAACCCCTAAACCCTAAACCCTAAACTCTTAAAACACCCAAACCCTAAATCAAATGCAGGGCCGGCCTTGAGGGAGAAAGCCGATCGAAGCCCTGCTTTGCCGAAGCCTGGACCTGCTTGGAGGTTCATGGTACGTATGAACCCAATGGTGGGTTTAGGGTTTAGGGTTTAGGGTTTAGGGCTTACAGGGTTTAGGGTTTAGGGTTTAGGGTTTAGGGTTTAGGGTTTCGGGTTTCGGGTTTGGGATACTTTTGAATCCAGTTATAACTGTACTTCTAGCCCAACCATCGTCATATGAGGGGCTGATAGGTGTGTTACGAGTGCGGGTACAAGTGGGTTACAAGTACCATGACCCTCCAAGTGCAGTTCGTGCGGAAGCCAAGGTGCATCGACTCCGAGTGCATAAGTGTGTAAGTGATTGTAAGTGATTGTAAGTGGGTGTAAGTGTGTACGTGGTTGTAAGTACTTGTATGTGATTGTAAGTGTGTAAGTGTGCAAGTGTGAAAAAAAGCGTGTGTGTGTGTGTGCCTGGTGGTGGTGAAGGGTTCAGGGTTTAGGGTCTAGGGCTGAGGTGTTTAGCGCTCAGGGTTTAGGGTCTTGGGTTTAGGGTTCAGGTGTTTTGGATGGTTGAAACTCAGGTCCAGTCAATCCAATTCAACGACGAGGACGCTTGTCTGGCAAAATGAGATCCCATAAGCTTGTTTTTCTAGAGCCCCAAAGCCTTATACGCTCCCAAACGCTACAAAGGTAGCTCTCTAAATGAGGGTCCCGTTTTGGAGCCCCAATGCAGCTTCTAAAAATGACCCCCCAAAAGGGACCTGATCTGGAGAACACCCATAGGCCCCCAAGACCCTAAGCCCTCTAAAGCCAAAGCCCGAAACCCGAAACCCCAAACCCTAAAACCCTAAAACCTTATGGTTTAGGGCGCAGGGTCCGCCAGGGATTTTTTTGGCTTTCGGGTTCAGGACGGTTTAGGGTTTAGGGTTTATTTCGGTCATGGGCAGTGAAATCCCAAAACTGCCCCCCCCCCCCCCCCCCCCGCCTTAAACCCAAGTCGCAACCTGGAACCCCCACATAACCCTGAAAGCCCTTCCTGGAAGTCTCAACTAAACTCTGAAAGCCTTGCAGACCCTCAAAGCAAACCTAACCCAAAATCATTCGTGGTAAAGACCTCAACCCTATACACCACGAACCATAAGACCTGGGCCTTCAATCAACCCGAAACCCTGAAAGCCCTAAAAACCCCCTGAAAACCCTGAAAGCCCTGAAAGCTCTACTACAGACCCTGCTTGAAGGTTCATGGGGTGTGCTTCAGGTTGAGGGTTTCGGGTTAGGGTTAGGGTTTAGGCTTTAGGGTTTAGGCTTTAGGCTTTAGGCTTTAGGGTTTAGGGTTTAGGGTTTAGGGCTTAGGGTTTAGGGTTGAGGGTTTAGGCGACTTAGATTCTCTTCACCTGGCAATGGCGGCATCCTCAGCGAGGAGAGGACATCGAGGATGTGGAACCGATCTGCTGGAGCAGACAGATCTCCGAGCTACGCGAGTGGGATCCACGCAGCTAAAACAAGGTCCGTCCGAGTGCTAGCGCGTGACTGTCTGTCGCTGCGAGGGAAGGAGCCATCTGGAGGACGCTGAGGCTCCTTTCAGCTTGGAGCTGGGCTTGCTGACTGTTGTTGGCAGTCTTCAGTTGGCATTCGGAGCGTTGCGGTTGGTGCAGTGGCGTGCAGTTCATGTCAGCACGGTCTGCAGGCGACGATCGCTCGCTGCGTAGGACTCTGAACGTGTCCATAGTAGCCACGCAGGAGGATTCCAGATTTAAAGGTTGCCTGCGCATGCTCGGGCGCATATGTAGTCTTGCGCAGGAGGGCATGTGTGTCATAGAAGCCATACGCCGGTTGAGGCACAACCTGAACCCATCTGATGCTTTGACCAAACTTGGCGGTGCTCGCCTCAACCGTTGCTGCGGTTGTTGCGAAGTGGTCGCTTCAAGATCGAAGACGGGCACACAGTGCTCGAACAAGGTCGGCAATCGGAAATTTCATCTATCTTTGGGAAATCGATTGAGGGGGACACGTCCCAGAAAACGGGTGAGGCGATATGATGAAGGATGAAACGAACGAGGCGAGGGCCTTACGAAATCAAAAATGGAAAGAAACGGGACTTCATGAAAAATGAGAGGAGAAAACGAGAGAGGTGACTTGCCACCAGCTCATGGAAGATGAAGAAATCAGCTACAAACAACTAAATGTTGCGAGTAAGCGGTAGCTGCGCGAAACAAGGCTTGTGAAGCAATCGTTTTGTCCGTTGTCCAGGCTCTGCCTTTGCCGACTTTGTGTCTGGAAGTGGTGCTTGTCAGCAGCAGAAGACAGCAGCTGTCTCGCGTCACGGAGGAGTGTACAATTGGCCAGCTGTCAATGCAAGCCCAACGAGGCTTCGAAGGCGACCTCGAAGGAGGCTTCGAAAACATCACCGAGACACAGCTTTGTTCGTTGTTGCACCGAGGAGTCCGAGGAGTTTTACTACGCGAAAACACAACTGTGAAGCAGGCAGGCCTGACAACAGGAGATGCGCTGACATGTTGGCTGCAAAGGAAAGAGGTTCGCCCGGTTCGCCTCGGCATGCGCTTTCGCAGTTTTGTCAGTACGCTGTCTTTGCAGCCAGCTGTGCGCCCAGCGGGCTAGGCTAGGCCAGGAATTCTACAGATTTGGGCGCCGAACGCAGTGCGTTCGCTTTGCTTGCTGCTAGTTAGCGGAGTGAGTCCAACGAGCTCCGGCAAGAAGCCCGCGTGTCATGTCTACACAGGATCTGTGAGCGTAGCTTGGCTGACGATGGAGCCAAGGTCATTGTGTGCTGAGACCAGCCGCGCCTGACGAGGTGGACGAGCCTGGGCATGGCCCCCTATAGGGTGAGATGTTGGGTGTGGGCGGCCCTAAGTGAGGAGCGGCTACATCTGCGTCTCGGTTTGGTGTTTATCTACTGGCAGCTGGTTTCCCCCACAGCCACGTGGCGCGCTGTATTCAAAGAGCTTTAGATGTGGTTGCGAGGTCTCCACAGCACCGTCCGGCGCAGCATGTCCTCCTAAGGCAAGATGCCACCTTGCGCAAGCGACAGGGCTGCTGCGCTGGGCCCGCCAGCGTCGAGACTGGATATTCGAAGATCCAGTCACGACATGACATGCATCTGGGAGCCTCAGCACCTCCACGAAGCCCACTCGCGAGGTGCGCCTTGCTCTTCGCCAGAGGGTGGATCTTTGGAGTGTGGAGATGGAGTGGGGGATTCCTCCTCCTCGAAGTATGGCCGCAAGGAGGAGAAGCAGCAGGGGCTGCTGATGGTCTCGTATTTGGAGAAGGTGCTGAACACTGAAGCACGTATATAGGCGGGCTTGATTGTAAGTTTGGCTTATAACCCCAGCAACAACTAGTCAGTGTGTCCCGTGAACCTCCTTAAGGGCTCGAATATGAATATGGTTATAGTTGGGTGATAAGCACATATAGAGGTGGGTTCATAAGTAATTAGTACTTACCATGAACCTCCAAGTACGCCTAAACCTTACACCTTGCCCTAAACCTTGAACCCTAAGCCCTAAACCCCAAACCTTCACCACAAACCCTTATAAGCAAGGACGCCATCTATCGCCAGCTCTCGGGCACCGTACGCTGGGTGCCGGGCTCGATGACCGCGTGGAACCCGGCAGACTAACTCGTGGGCTCCCAAATCCTACCTAGACCTGGAAAAACCCAAGAAAAAGTAGGTTGCTTCTCAAAGCCAGGTTCTGGACTGAAGAACCCGGATCTCGAAATAAGGGTGTTGCACGATGGGTTTTTTGCGGGTTCCCGACGGGTTATGGGTTTCCGACGGGTTTTTTACGGGTTCTAAAGAGCTGCGTTGCCATAGAACCAGGTTTTCGTCGCAGAAACCCGGCTTTTGAGCAACATCTCCTGAGAACGCGGTTCCTGCTCATCGCCCCACTGTATTCAGGGTTTTGACAGCTCTAGGTAAGCCCTAACGTAGAAAGAGAAAGAGAGAGAAAGGGAAAAAGAGAGAGAGAGAGAGAGAGAGAGAGAAAGGGAAAACGAGAGAGAGAGAGAGAGAGGGGGAGGGAAGGAGGCAGGGAGGGAGAGAGAGAAGGAGAGAGACGAGCACCTTCCTGAACCTGAAAGGACCTGAAGCAGCGTGTGCGCGCACATAAAACTGTCAAGCATCCTGCGCCCGAAGCAAACGCGTTTAGTGCTCAGGGCTTTGGGGCTTTGAGGCTTGGGGGCCACCCTAAACCCTAAACCCTGAACCCCAAACCCCAAGCCCCAAACCCCAAACCCTTAACCCTAAACCCTACACCCTAACCCTAAACCGCAGAGCCAGCCATTATGAGGTCACGACGCATTTCGTCGTCTACATTGCGGAGGACGAGCTGGGTACTGGGCAGATCCAGGCGCTTCCGAAATCCCGACGCACTGAACCCTGAACCCTGAACCCCAGGCCCTAAACCTAAACCCCAAACCCTAAACCCTAAACCCGAAACCCTAAAACCCTTAAACCCTATATGCTAAAATGCTGGGTGCCGCCTTAGACTAGCAACCCCCAAAAAAGGAACCATAATTTAGAGAAGTGACCAAGTGTCAATTCTAAGGGTAGTTACATGGTCCCTTAGTATGTGCCCTGAAAAGGGGACCCCGTATGTACCCCTGATATGCCCTATGCAAATTCGGGGCCCATACATCAGAACCCTTTGAAAGGAGCTTAGGGACCATGTTAAGGGACCATGAAACTACCCTAAACCCTAAACACTAAACCCTAAACCCTAAACCCTAAGTACTCTTAGAAAGTGTTAAGGCTGCTCCACGGGCATCCCTTGCAGGTCAGCCCCAACGTGCCGGCCGAGGCTGCACACGAGTGGTACATCTCGGCGTCATGGCTGCAGAGTCCTGCAGTTTAGGGTTTAGGGTTTAGGGTTTTGGGTTTTGGGTTTTGGGTTTTGGGTTTTGGGTTTTGGGTCTAGCCTTTAGGCTTTAAGGGTTTCGGGTTTCGGGTTTAGGGTAAAGGGTTTAGGGTTGTGGGTTAAGGGGTTTAGGGCTAGCCATCAAGGTACCCTTAGCAGGCAAGTAGCCCGCCAAGCTGGTGTTTCGGGGAGCCGCTCCGTCCCCAAGTCAGTTTATTGGTGGCCGTTTGGGGTTGTGGGCGGGGGGGTTTAGACTTCAGGGTTCAGCATCTAAGAGTGTGACAGCAACCCTAAACCCTAAACTCGAAACCCTAAACCCTAAACCCTAAACCCTAAACCCTAAACCCTAAACCCTAAACCCTAGACCCTAAACCCTAAACCCTAAACCCTAAACCCTAAACCCTAAACCCTAAACCCTAAACCCTAAACCCTAAACCCTAAACCCTAAAAGGGTTTAGGCACCCATGGGCTGGTGCGTGCCACTCCCAGACGACGCAGGTCACGCTGAATGGCACCTACACGCAGCCCAGCCAAACTGGAGGGCACGGTTCGAGGTTTAGGGTTTAGGGTTTAGGGTTTAGGGTTTAGGGTTTAGGGTTTAGGGTCTAGGGTCTAGGGCTTAGGGTTTAGGGTTCAAGGTTCAGGGTTTAGGGTTACTAGGACCCAGAAAAGGCCCTTGTTCCCTTTTTAGGGTCTAGGTTCCCTTATGAGCGCCTGTAAACCAAAAAGGGGCACCCTTTGTATTCCTAGGCTCCTCTCGGGTCTAGGGGTGTAGGGTTAGTTTGGGGTGTAGAGTGTAGGGCTTAGGGACCCTGAGCCCTTGAAACTCCCTATTCCCGTATTCTAAGGGTAGTTTCATGGGCCCTTAATATGGTTCCTTACCTCTTCTGCAGGGTTCTGATGTAAGGGCCCTCCATTTGTAGACACTAAGGGACCATGTAAGTACCCTAAAACCCTCTATAGGTTGATGTTTCTCGGGGGCTTTGGGTTTCGGGCTCGCACGCCACAGCAACGACATCTGTCGGAGCTGTGTCCTCATGGGGTGATGTGTATTGTAGCCGGGTGATGTGAATTAAACTCGTTGCTTGTACTTTCCCTTGCGGATTAAATGTAGAACCCTCATCATTTGTAGTTTAGCTTCGTGGTACCTATTTACCGGCTCAACCCTCAAGCCCACACCCAAGCCACCAACCCTAAGCCCTCAACCCTAAACCCCCAAAGCTTACTTGGAGGATCGGGTCACTTACTTGGGCTTCTAAGTAAGTATAAGTATACTTACCTTACCTATAACTCCACCTATTGAGTCCCCTGAGCCTTTAAGCAAGCCTCTATGTCTAGGCTTCTTGGGCTACGCCAGGCATCTCCTCGTGTATGCTGCCAACAACATGGGCATCTCTAACTTTTCCAGTGCGATCCCGCTGAAGGACACCCCTGAAACCATTTAGGGTTTAGGGTTTAGGGTTTAGGGTTTAGGGTTTAGGGTTCATAAATTCGGTGGCTCATTGGGTTTAGGGTTCGGGGTTCAGGGTCCCAAACCCAACCCTAAACCCGAAACCCTAAACCCCAAAATCTGGACTCTGTAGGGGGGGAAAGCTGGAATCCCTTAGCCCTGGAAAGCCCGAAGCTGTAAAACCATACTATGCCCTAAGCCCTAGGCCTAAACCCTAAGCCCGAAACCCTGAACCTGCATGTCAGCCCCTCATGGAACAGCCTTGGCGCGGCGTCGGCCTCGACGAGTTTCAGACGCACACGCCCTGAAGCCCTAAAACCCGCGAAGGCCCAATTCCCCCCCGTGCTAGAAACCAATGAAAGAAATTCCAGAACAAAGCAGAGCCCTAAAGCCCTTGGAGCCCTGAAGGAATTTCTAGAAGCACTAGAGCCCTAAAGCTAAGCCATTAACCCCAAGCCCTGAGCCTCTGGGTACTTTCATGTTCCCGTAATATGGCCCCTTACCTTCTTTAAGGGTTTAGGATTTAGGGTTTAGGGTTTAGGGTTTAGGGTTTTGATGTTCCCGTAATATGGCCCCGTACCTTCTTGAATGGGTTCTGAACTATGGGCCCTTGGGATATGTTGGGTATATAAGGGATATATAGGGGTTCCCCACTCAAGGGCCTATATTAAGCTACCTTCAGGAGCCCCCCTAACTCCCTAAACCCAAACCCCCCAAACCCTAAACCCTAAACCCTAAACCCCTAACCCCCCAAACCCTAAACCCCTAACCCCTAACCCCTAACCCCTAACCCCTAACCCCTAACCCCTAAACCCTAAACCCTAAACCCTAAACTCTAAACCCTAAACCCTAAGCCCTAAACCCTAAACCCTAAACCCGAAACCCTAAGCCCTAAACCCTAAACCCCCACCGTTCCCAGGACTCAAAGGTCACGTGCCTCACCGACACCTTCTGGCCCTGTGCCAGGTCCCAGGTCCTCAAAGCCCAGGTGGGGCTTTAGGGCTTAGGGTTTAGGGTTTAGGGTTTAGGATTTAGGGTTCAGGGTTTAGGTTGTAGGTCTCTGCATACCTCTTTTGCGGATGCCTGCTATGGAAAGGAGCCTTCTCGTCATATGCTGCGAAAGTCCAAGAAAAAACAACCTACGAAACGGAGCCGTGCAACCACTTCGGGTCCAACCCAAGAAGCCTCATATGTCAAGCCTCAAGCCTACGCCCCTAAAGCCTAAACCCTCAACCCCACACCCCAAACCATAAATTGCCACACATTGGGGAACTGCCCATGGTTGGGGGGGTTTGGTTCTAAATCCCTAAAGCTGTATACGCCCCAAGTCGAATTGACCTAAACCCTGAACCCCTGAACCACTCCTGAACCCCTCCTGAACCCCTCATGAACCACCTCCTGGACCCCTCCTGAACCCCCGAACCTCTGAAACCGTGAACCCCTGAACCCTGAAACCCTGAAGGCTACTTGAACTCTCCACGGGGGGAGCCAAGTGAATCACCCATGGCCCCTAAACCCTAAACCCTAAACCCTAAACCCTCCACCCTCAACTGGCCCTCAACCCTCAACCCTCAACCCTCAACCCTCAACCCTCAACCCTCAACCCTCAACCCTCAACCCTCAACCCTCAACCCTCAACCCTCAACCCTCAACCCTCAACCCTCAACCCTCAACCCTCAACCCTCAACCCTCAACCCTCAACCCTAAACCCTCAACCCTCAACCCTCAACCCTCAACCCTCAACCCTCAACCCTCAACCCTAAACCCTAAACCCTAAACCCTAAACCCTCATCTCAAAGGGCGAGCAGCCTGTGGGATGTCAAGGGACCTCCTGCACACCCCAGGAGCCGGGGGTGTTCGGGCTCTAGGGTGTAGGATTCGGGGTTTAGGGTTTAGGGTTTAGGGTTTAGGGTTTAGTGTTTAGGATTTAGGGTTTAGGGTTTAGGATTTGGGGCTTTGGGGTTCAGGGCGCACTCGGGGCGGGGCGCCTTCGCTTCAGGCCGTCCGTTCAGGCTCTGTTTGCTTGAGGGTTGAGGTGTAAGGTGTAGGGTTTGGGGTTTAGGGTTTCGCGCTTAGGTTCCCTATTCACCCTAACCCTCAACATCCCAAGCCTGCCCCCCTAAACCCTAAACCCTAAACCCTAAACCCTAAACCCTAAACCCTAAACCCTAAACCCTAAACCCTAAACCCTAAACCCTAAACCCTAAACCCTAAACCCTAAACCTAACCCTAAACCCTAAACCCTAAACCCTAAACCCTAAACCCTAAACCCTAAACCCTAAACCCTAAACCCTAAACCCTAAACCCTAAACCCTAAACCCTAAACCCCAAACCCTAAACCCTAAACCCTAAACCCTAATGATCTTGGCCCTTCGTTTCAGGGGTTTGGGTCGACCTTTCGGTGTGTGAGGTCCTTAGATTCCCAAATCCAAAAGCCCCGTTTGCTCATGGGCAGTTACAAGTAGGCCGATAAGCACCCAAACTAGCTTAATGTTAGAACCACTTGGACCCTAAACCCTAAACCCTAAACCCTAAACCCTAAACCCTAAACCCTAAACCCTAAACCCTAAACCTTGTAACTACGTATGCCTTTACTCTTACAACCCCGGTTCTAGTTTCCCAGGCACTCCTCCAAGCCTTCAAACAATCATCACAGCATCCCCCAGTTCCCCCACTCCCTCCTCAGCTGAACCCTGAATCCTGAACACCAAGCCGTAAGCACTAGAGTCTATATAAACCCTAAACCCTAAACCCTAAACCCTAAACCCTAAACCCTAAACCCTAAATAAGGCCTAAGACCTAAGACTAAGGCCCTAATCCCTGAGCACCTGACCCTGAACCCGAAACCCGAGACCCGAAACCCTCAGTCGGAAGGAGTGCTGCGTGGACGCCGGGTTGTGCAGCAACTTCTTCAATGGCACGCAGAATGTGTCCCAGGCCCAGGGTTTAGGGTTTAGGGCTTGGGATGTAAGGTTTTGGGTTTTGGGTTTTGGGTTTTGGGTTTTGGGTTTTGGGTTTTGGGTTTTGGGTTTTGTTCGCAGCCTTGCCTGAAAACTACTCCTTGAGCCACGAATCCCAAATGCATCGGGGTACATCAAGCAGGGTTTATATTGCAATTACTGGTGAGTGTATAAAGGTTCCTTTTGAATATTGGTGAGTGTATATATTTGGTGTCTCTCTGGGGATACAAGTAATTGTAAATCCTACTTCACATGAGTCTGGGGTGATTGCTCGTAATTTGGGTTTAGGGTTTGGGGGCATAGGGTTTACAGGGTTTAGGGCTTATAGGTTCTAGGGCCTAGGGTTTATAGGGTTTAGGGTTATTGTGAAACGGTTGTTTCGGCTTAGTTAGTTTAGGAGGCTTTCGGCTTAAGGTTCTGACTTCCGGCTCAGAGTTTATGAGTTTGGGAACAAGGTCGCCCGCCTCAGGGAATTGGAGAACCTCGGCTTGTCTGCATGGGCCACAGATCCTATGAGGGTGTCGGGTTTAAGTTTCAGGGTTTACTGTAGAGTGTCGCAGGCGGTCCTTGGGCATACCTTCGAGGCTTCCTTTATATACGCTAAAACCACGTTGCCTTGGTTTTACCATTTTTCAGCCCTTTGTCAAATCCTTTCTACATAAACCCTTATGACACCCGTCTCAGCCCTGTCTATACCCTTCTACTCCGCCCCTTGCTAAACCATTTTTGAAACCCATGGAGCGCGTTGGCCCTAAACCCGAAACCCGAAACCCTGAACCTGAAACCCTTGCAGCCCGAAGCCCCCACTAAAGGCTACTTGAACTCTTTACGAAGGGAGCCCAGTGAATCACTCATCCCCTAAACGAAACCCTAAACCCCAAACCCCAAACCCCAAACCCCAAACCCCAAACCCCAAACCCCAAACCCCAAACCCCAAACCCTAAACCCTAAACCACCCTAAACCCGAAACCCCTAAGCCAGGAGGCCAACATCTCCGACGTGGGTCCCAGGTGCGCGGATGGCTACGTGGCCTTGGCAACGCCTCCAGAGCCGCCCGGCGGTTTAGGGTTTAGGGTTTAGGGTTTAGGGTTTAGCGTTGAGGGTTGAGGGTTTAGGGTTTAGGGTTTAGGACGGTGACGTTTCGGTGTCTTGGTGTGGGGGCGTTTTGGGTTTAGGACTTAGGGCTGAACATTTCATGGCGGCCCCGAATATTTAGGACACAAACATGGACCACCGTTGGGAGAGCTGACCATACAACAAAAATGAAAATTACAAAACACATCATCAATAAATGCATAAAAAACAAATAATAAAAAAATACATATAAATGTAAATATGAACATAAACATATATATATATATATATATTCATAGTATATACGTGAAAACATACCTGCCTATTCAACTTAAGGGGAAGAAGGAGGGACCCCTGGAAGGGACCCTTAATCTTTTCCTCCATACAACGCATGCACTACCCCTACATATACGAAGGTGTTGTCCCTATATACCTAAGTAGCCCCTAAATAACCCCTACTAACCCCTAAGCTCCCTTCTAAGGGCCCCTCCTTTGGTCCCTAAACCCTAAACCCTAAACCCTACACCCTAAATCCTAAACCCTAAACCCTAAACCCTACACCCTACACCCTAAACCCTAAACCCTAAACCCTAAACCCTTTCGCCTATAAAGCCCAAGTGACGACATGAGGTATTGCTCCGGCCCGGTCTGCTTCAGCAGTGACTGCTGCCTGGCATGCACAGGGCCTCTCGGAGGGTAAGGGTTAGGGCTTACGGTTTAGGGTTTAGGGTTTAGGGTTTAGGGTTTAGTGTTTAGGGTTTAGGGTTAGGGTTGAGGGCTTGACTGGGGTGGGCTCAGCACTTGAGGCAGATGCCACCCCCCCCCCCTTCGTTTCTTTGTGCAGTGTAGACAGCAATACTGTATACCGCGACCTTCGATTCTTCGGCTTTTGGGGTTTAATGGGTTTCTTAGTCAGGTAGTGAAAGATGAAAGTTTTGCCAGGTGTCCCGAAACCGTAGAGGCTTAGGAGGCCCTTGTCTTGTTAGGCAACCCGTTCCTTACAACACACTGAACCCTGTAACCTTACAACCCTATAAGTCTTAGAACCCTATACCCCTACAACCTCATAACTTATCACCCTACAACCCTAAGCCCTTTCTTCCCAAACTCCGGAGCAAAGAGCTCCCTAAACCACAAAACCCTGAGCCCCGAAATCACTGTAGCTGCTAGGCCCGACCCAGCTCCACTAAACTCTGAGCTGGCGGTTAGGGTTTAGGGTTTAAGTTTAGGGTTGAAAATGGTTTAGGGTTTAGAGATTTGGGTTAGGGTTTAGGGTTTAGGGTTTGGGGTTTAGGGTTTGGGGTTTAGGGTTTGGGGCTTGGCGAACGTAAATCCTGAAACCCCAAAACCCCAAAACCTAGACCCCCAAGTTCCTAAAACCAGGCTGCCTTCGCCATGCCGACGCCCCGCCATCTGTGGCAGTGGTGCAGGCGACACACGACGGCGCTGAGGCAGGGGTTCGATAAGGGGCTTCAGGGTCCAGGATTTTAGGGTTTGGAGTTTAGGGTTTAGGGCTTAGGGTGGGGGGTCTGGAGGCTTTTGTAACTTTGGTTTGGGGTTTGTGGGTGTGGGTGTGGGTGTGGGTGTGGGTGTGGGTGTGGGTGTGGGTGTGGGCGTGCGTGTGCGTGTGCGTGTGCGTGTGCGTGTGCGTGCGCGTGTGCATGTGCGTGTGCGTGTGCACACGTTAGAGTTTTCATGGTTTGCCGGTTTTAGGGTTTGGGGGCATTCGGCTCCGCAGCTTTCAGGCGCTTGGTTTAGGGCTTAGCGTTAAGGTTTGGCGGTTTAGGACTTACGGTTTAGGATTTCGTGTCTTGGCTTTCAAACCCCGAAGCCCTAAACCCTAAGCCCTAAACCGCAAATCCAAACCCGGACCCCAAATCCTAAACCCTAAACCCCAAATCCTACACCCTATAAACCCAAACCCCAAGCCGCAAGGATCCCAGAAAGCAGGTCGAGTGGGGTATCCCAGATCTCCACAACTGCACCTTCGCGGACTACGAGGCTTCATGGGTTTGGGGTTTGAGGTTCGGGGTTAGGGTCTAGGGGCTGTAGGGTGCTGGTTTGTAGCAGGAATTTGGAAACGAGGTGTTTGTTTCAGTCTTCACTCCCTGATTCCCTACAGTGAGGCCTGAAATTTTGAAGGAAATAGGGATTCACGCTTTAGGGGTCTTGGGTTTGGAAGGGTGGGCGGCTGGTTTGAACGTTGAGGGTTGGTACAACCGCTGGGTGAAGGGAGGGGAGGCCAAGCTGTGCAGCCCACCCAAATATTGGAAGACGCTCCATCTCGATGAATCACTCACGAAGTCTTACCGGCTCGAGCACTTTTCTTCTTCAGTTGCGACATGCGTGGCAGGCCCGAGCCACTCCGCCTTGAGACGGAGCAGTGTGGCCAACCAGGTTTGATTCAGGCACCTATCAAGCATTGGCCAGTGTCCCTCTTCTTCCGCAGTGGCAAGACTAAAGCTGCAAGCCCACCGAAGGTCGCCTCCAGTTCAGAGACACAAGTCAGGCTCCTTGTGCTTGGTTCCACCGGGCATGGGAAGAGTGCCTTATGCAATCTCTTGGTGGAGCCTACCGAGGAGAATCTTTGGGGAGAGGATCCAACTTTTCAGGTCGGTGAGTGCCGCCGTTCCTGCACGGAGAACTGTTCAACTCACAGCTCAAAGACCGAGATGGCCATGGACACCCCGGGCCTCAACGAGAGCCACGCAGCAGACTTGCCGCACATGATCAATGTCGTAAAAGCAGCAAAGGAGCTTGAACATGTGCATGCCGTCGTGCTTGCTATGAAGATTGATTCCCGCATGGATAGTCATACAAGGACACCATACAGTACTATCATGACCTACTGGGCAAGGAAATCTTTGCGTCAAAGTTGGTCATTGTGCTGACAAACTTCAGAAGACAGGACAGGAAGTACAGAGGGACCAAGGGGCAAGAACTAGTTGACAGGACCATTCAGCAAACGGCAGAGGATGTTCAGAATTTCTTGGATCTTCCCCGGTCACCGAAAGTGTTCTGCGTCAACTCAGTACCCGATGATGAGGCAGACCTGACATGGCAGCAAGAGGTCCGAAAGAACATCCTTGAGTATGCTTGTTCGAACAAGGCACCGGCTCGCTTGGCTGATCTCAGAGTTCCCAAGACCGTGGCGGTCTTGAAAGCTCATGGAGAGGAAGCGGCGCGCCTTGATGGCACAATCGCTAGCTTGGAGGAGCAGCTTCAGCAAATCAACGAGCTATCGACTCCCGTCAAGCAGGCGATCATCAGATGCACACATGAGATGGACCATGCGCAGGCAAACATCAAGCGGCTAGATGCGGAACTCCTGAAGCTCGACACAGCAGAGCTGTGCGAGGCATTTGCTCCGTGGAGGCGTCAGACACCAGCTGGGATTTGGGGCAGGTGGGATTTTTCAATCGAAAGCCCGGTGCCCATTCAAAGCATTTCACATGTTAATCCAGGCGCGTACTATCATCAGACGCGTCTAACAGCCCGGACCGTGGATGGGTATTTCACGCGGGCCTCGGCAGGCGTGTTTGAAAGCCAACCCTAAACCCTAAACCCTAAAAACCCAAAAAAACCCTAAAAAATCACTTGTTACGGCTACAAGCGTGATGTCCATGCCGCCACAATTAGAAACAAGAGGGATGAGAGATGCACATGGCAACGTGCTTACGATGACCAGCTGAAGGAAGCCTTTGCGCTCCAGAAGGACAGCCACGGTTTAGGGTTTAGGGTTTAGGGTTTAGGGTTTAGGGTTTAGGGTTTGGGGTTTGGGGTTTGGGGTTTAGGGTTTAGGGTTTAGGGTTTAGGTTTTAGGGCCGGATTCATGGGCCAAACAGTGGACGAGCTAACTGAGAGGATCAAGTCCGCGGAGAGCCACATCCGTGAGCTGAAGTGTCCATTTTTCAGTACATTGGAAGCTGCTGAGGAAGCCATCGGCACCCTCGCGCAGCAGATGTCCAGCAAGTCCGCAATACCGTGAGAGGTTTAGGGTTTAGGGCTTAGGGTGTAGGGTACGATAGTCGACTGTATGCCATATACCTAGAAAGCGCGACGTTGTGGCTCACATTGCCAGGGACATTCAGGAGTCACCTGTTGTGGCTTGCGGGGTTCTAGGGGCCCTGAAGTTACTAGCAAATGTGATTTATCGGGAATATTCGAATTATAGTGCTAGTTCTATGTACTTAGGGGCAATTATAACTCCAAACCCTAGGGCCTAGGGCTGTGAGACACGACAGCTTCTGCGTACGAAACTACGCATGGGCTTGGGCCCAGGAGAAGCGGCTTGATAAGTTTGGGAGATACCGTGGCCATGATCATACGGCCTCCCCGTACCGTGCTACACATGAAGGGATCAGCTTCGTTCTGTGTTCCTGAGCTCGGCCTGAGTTTGGAGGTTGAACACACGGCTCTGGGTTCAGGACCTATGGGTTTACGGGTCTATGTGTTTATATAGGTTTAGGCCTTAGTGCCAGCCCGAAAATGCTTTCAACTTGAGCTCAGGAGCACCAAAGCTTGCCTTGGCTGTCGGACGGAAGTTGTTGGTAGCAGCTCTAGTCGGCAGACCCGGAGCACGCGAGGTGCATGAGACAAGGATGGCTTGGAAAAGTCAGAACCTGTTCTGGTTTTGTCCTTTCACTAAACCCCTAAACCCCTAAACCCTAAACCCTAAACTCTAAGCCCCACCTAAATTAAAGGCTGAACGCTCCCCTACTGTACCCTACTCAACCCTACTACCCCTAACCCCCCCCCCCCCCCCCCCCCCCCCCGACTCCAAAGGATCCCATAAGACTTAGGTTGGTTCAGGTTTAGGGTTTAGGGTTTAGGTTTAGGGTTTTGGGTTTTAGGGTTTTAGGGTTTTAGGGTTTTAGGGTTTTAGGGTTTTAGGGTTTTAGGGTTTTAGGGTTTTAGGGTTTTAGGGTTTTAGGGTTTTAGGGGATAGGGATCAAAAAAAAATAAAAAAGGATCAAAAAGAAAATAAAAACGGATCAAAAAGAAAATAAAAAAGGATCAAAAAAAAATAAGGCCGCGATCGACGACCCTCTCACACGAAACGCGTCTCGAGACGCCAAAACTCGAGTTTTGGTACGTTTTCAGAGCACGATTGACGACCCTCTCACACGACACGCATTTCGAGGCGCTAAAACCCCGAGTTCTGACTCTTGGCTTCACGGCTTCTTGGCTTCTTGGCTTCTTGGCTTCTTGGCTTCTTGGCTTCCTGGCTCTCCTCGGCTTTTAGCTTTATGCTTCTTGGCTTCTTTTTTTAAGTCGCACAAGCTTGCTTCAACGCATACACGTGTATCGAAAGCCATGGTGCGAGGATTGTGTTTGCAAATGGGGGGGGCTGCGCCCCCCCCAACCCCCCCGCTTTTTAAGTCACGTAAGCTTGCTTCAAAAATAAGCGTCTGTTCGACAATAATGATGCGAGCATTGTGTTTGCGTGTGTGGGGGCGGGGGGGGGGGAGGGCTGCACCCCGCCTTTACCAGACCCCCGCTTTTTTAAATCGCGCAAGCCTGCTTCAAAGCCTACGCGTCTCTTCGAGACCCATGATGCGAGCATTGTTTGCAACTGGGACTGCTACTATTACTACTACTACTACTACTACTACTACTACTACTACTACTACTACTACTACTACTACTACTACTACTACTACTACTACTACTACTACTACTATTACTTCTACTACTTACTACTACTGCTACTACTACTACTACTACTACTACTACTACTACTACTACTACTACTACTACTACTACTATTACTACTACTACTACTACTACTACTACTACTACTACTACTACTACTACTACTACTACTACTACTACTACTACTATCCTGCGACTGCGACTGCTGCTGCTGCTGCTCCTACTACTACTATTATTATTACTATTATTATTACTACTATTACTATTACTATTACTATTACTATTACTATTACTATTACTACAACTATTACTATTATTATTATTACTACTATTACTATTATACACTTATTATTACTACTACTAGTATTGCCATTACTACTACTACTACTACTACTACTACTACTACTACTACTACTACTACTACTACTACTACTACTACTACTACTATTACTAGTACTATTACTACTATTATGACTACTACTATTATTATTAGTACTACTACTACTACTACTACTACTACGTACTACTACTACTTCTATTATTATTACTACGATTATGATTATTACTACTATTATAATTATTCCTATTATGATTATGACTATTATTATTTTTATGATTAGTATTACTACCAGTACTACTACTATTATTACTACTACTATTATTATTACTACTACTACTATTATTATTACTACTATTACTCCTACTCCTACTCCTACTCCTACTACCACTACCACTACTACTACTACTGCTACTACTACTACTACTACTACGATTACTATTACGATTACTACTACTGTGAAGTCGACCAGCACTGGACTTGCACTAAACCAATGCAATCACAGCCCGGCCACGCTGTTTTACGACTTCGCGAGTTCAAGCACTTGTGCAGCTACGCCTGAGTGCGTCCGGTCGGACCGCACAGCAACCTAAGAGCTACTGTACGAAACTACCGTGCTCAAAGGCACAAGCTCGGTACTTGAGCCAAAACATTGGCATTGTTACGAATTGCAAAACTACACATGCAAAGGAAAACAACACGCTGCACTAGCACTAAGCAAGCACTCCATGCATGCTTTGACCTGCTCACATTCGCCCCTCAGCCGAGGCTTCCGGCTCACCAAGAGCTCGTAGTGCGTCAAGCACTTCAGCAACGCGGCAAATGGGGTAGGGCGAGGGTGTCGCGTGCGACCCTGGTAGAGCCCGCACATCATGAGCATTGGCATGCGGCATCGGCGGCAGCCCGCACTACCAAACGGACGCACGACGACAGCAGCCCTCTACGACCCTAAACCACCCCAAGTCGCGAGCGCTCACCTTTGTGCAGGCAGGCGAGGCTCCAGAGTACTGGGCAGGTCTTAGTGCTGCTAGTGCAAAGCTATGGTACAAATGGTACACTGTACACACTACCGGCCCTAAGCTACGGCTACGGCAACTCACCTATCCAGAACTACCCTACGGGCTACCGGACTCAGCGAGAGCCGCGCACATTGCTTGTGCCGCAGCCAGTGCAACTCGCACGCGCTTCGGCGAGCGCACTGCCGCGACCAGGACACGGTCCGCAGCACCTGCAAAAGAGCTCCCTCGACAAGAGGGGCCACAGGCAGGGCGGAGAAGAAAAGTGCGGGGAATGCAAAATGGGCAGGCTTCCAACCTGCCGCGGCTTTTTCGCCCGCAGTCACGCAAAGAAAGTGCAAAAGGTTGGCGAAGCAGCGTGCCGTGCTGCAACGCCGGCTCTGATAATGCGTGGATACATACCACGCCGCGCCAACTGGCCGCAGCCTACTCGATACCCTGTGGAGCAGTGTTGGGGGCACGAGTGGCGTTGCCAGCAACGTTGGAGCTACTGGCTCGCTCCAACTGAGGGCGCTTCGCAACCGCCTCATCGAGGGAGAATGCCTCAGCCGACACCCTCTGGAAATCCTCGACGTAGGACTGCGCGACAGGGTGCGTCTTGGGGACCTCAAGCTTAAGCCCTGCTTCCGCATTGGCCTTGCTGCTTGTGGTAAAATTGAGGCTCCCAATCAGCACCACCGCGCCGTCAGGCCGCAGTAGGCAAAGGGCCTTGGCATGGTGCAGCCCTTGAATCCCGGTGCCTACCTTAGCCCCGCGGCCGTCGCGAGCATAGGCGTCGCGCAAGGATGTGCCGCAACCCACCTTCACCTCGGCACCTGCGGCCGCCAAGCGTTTCAACGCTTGCCACTGAAGCTTGGTGCGGTGGCATTGTCCCATGTCGGCG